TTTACGACTACCTCTTGGAGCATGACGAGAATGTGGTGCAGGCGGACGTAGACAATCTGGTGCGTGATTATTCTTCTTCCACAACGGACGTTGACGATAATGAGGGAACTGCTAGGGAGCTCGCATTGTTTGCTGCAGTTGATAATGAGAACCTTTCGTCAGTGGCCGACACGGATTGTGGTGAGACAGGAGCTATATCGATTGCAAGTGCGCACATGCGGCGCGTGTTTGCGCGTTTCTGCGAGGTCTTGCTAGTTGATTGCAGTCACAAAACGAATAGGTACGCCTGTGTAATGTGAAGGGTAATGATCTTGGATTTAAACAGGACTGATACGTGTATGTGTTCATGATAATGATGTAGGTATAACTACCAACTACTAACATTCATGGGAATGAACGAATTTGGCGAGGGTGCAGTAGTTCAACAGTCTCTGATCGAAGCAAATGGAGACTGGCATATGGAACGAGCCATTGATCATTTTAAACGATTTCACCCTACGCGCATCAACTTACTGCGCGTGACAGTCGTGGATAAGGATATAAACGAGATACGCGTCTTGGAGGCGAATTTCCCTGAGGCCAGGATCCTGATATGTCACTTTCATGTTGTTAAGTATCTCAAGGAGATGCGCTCGAAGCCAGAGTTCGGGAAGATTTCATCAGACGACGCTAGCCAAATAGACGCTGCAGCTCATAAGATGGTATACGCGTCCAGTGAACAAGAATACGAAGATGCACACGATTCTCTAAAGGGCATTTGCGAAAGATGTGGTATGGATCGTTTTTTCAAGTATTTCGAGAAGAATTGGCACTCATGCACAGAGCGTTGGGTGTTATACCTTCGTGCTACGCTTCCCCACTTCAACAATCACACCAACAACAGACTGGAGAGTTACTTTAGCAAACTGAAAGAAGGTATCGACAGTTCTATGACTATGGCGAATTGTGTGAAGGCATTGGTTGCTTTTGATCGGCGGAAACAGAACGACTACGAATACCGGCTAACTCGAATAGGTCGTTTCAGCAACTCAAATTATGACGAGGAAATGTCGACGGTTCTGCGTTTCACTACTCACTATGTGGCTCAACAGATAGAGCGGTAATACACACTCGGATTGGAGAATACATTACGTTACAAGTTCGAGAAAGATCCCGGGGAATTGAAAGTCGTCAAAGTCCGTGGATCATTTAAGATCCATATTCTTCGAATCGATGAGTGGAGATGCAACTGCGAGTTTGCAGCATCGATGAGTTTGCCTTGTAGACACGCAATCGCATATCGCAAGCACACCAACGTAAATGGGCCTGTTATTCCCTGGACCATGATTGACGAGAGGTTCGTACTGATCCAACTAAAAATCCTGGATGTATACAGGATTTTATATTTCTATGATATGTATTTGTATAGTAACGAATCCTGTATGTGTGCATGACTTGTAGGTGGACGAACCCGACAATGGAACTCAAGAAAGTCCGGCAGTTTGCCTATGAGAAGTTCGGAGATTCGGCCCAAGGAAATCAAAAGAATAGGATGCGAACACACTCGGAGAGATATAGAGAGGCTGTGCGCGCAACACACTTAATTGCCAGCGAGATAGCAGACATTGAAGATGAAGCTGAGTTCGAGACTATGCTGCAGTTTGTTTTGAATCAATGGAGAAACGTCCGGCAGAAAAAAATTGCCGAGGATACTCCTGATGGAGATTTACATGAACGTCTGGTTGCGGCAAATGTGGAATCTGTGTCTGGTGCTGATTTGAAGCGGGAGTTTGGAATTAGCAATAGTGATGATGAAGAATCTTGTACTGGAGACTCTGTGGATTCTGCTGTGACTAAAGAGAAGGAAGCGTCTGCCTCCACAATGACTATACGCCTGAACCCAAAGGCGCGTAAGGTTGGGGCCCCCAAAAAGGCCAAAACGAAGATAGTGGCCGGTGAACGTGCGGACAGGAAGTGGTATGAAGCGGCGGAAGAAGGCCGTAAGAAAGCAGGGGAAGTGACATTAGTTGCGGTGATGAAGTCTTTAGATCACGTTCAGCCTGGGCTTCGCGAGGTACAGAGGCGTTTATCGGGGATCATAGTGAAGTACGGAGACGCTGAGCCGAAAAAACCCAAGCTTCACATGATGAAAAATCCTGTATTGATACAGGATCCGTTCTACATACTTCCAACGAAGCTTTTGGATGCGTGCCTGAAGATCCTTCCCGTGTCCAATTCGAAGGAAGATGCTATCGCGATTGACGCATCACAAACTAGCCAACCAACGGAGACAAAGAAAGGAAAACCAATTGAAATTGTTGTCATCATGGACGTTGGGAGTTTTTCAAGGAAACAGATAGAAACCTCCAAGCGCGTGGACAATTTGAAACGAACCGTACAGGCAGGCTTGGACATGCATAAGTGGCTACTGGAGGTCGCTGTTCCTTCCCTCCCAGCCCCCTACCACGGAATTGGAACTCGAGTTGCTGAGGATGTGTTAACGTCGTACCCGTTCAAACGGATTCAAGGACTACCATATCTGGCAGACTACACATACGCAATGCTCTACAGCGCGAGCCCACCCACATGGCTTTCGGACGCAGCATTACGTGCCTTGTGCTTGCGGCTCACCGACAATTACCCAACAGTCCGATTTGCTGGTTTTCAATCAGCTGTAGCAAAGCAACGCCGATCTCGAAAGACAGATGCTTCTCCAGTTGAAGATACTATCCGACAGCGACTGCTACAGCAAGTTCAGGAGGACGGAGTGGACACGGTATTGCTCCCGCTGAACTTTGATAACTTCCACTGGTGCTGCGTGGTTGTGAAGGTCAATGCTAAGCGTATCTATTACTACGATCCGCTAAACCACGCTTCCTACAAGAACGCTTGTAACGCAGTGGGCACACATCTCAAGATCTCAGGCCTTCTAGATTACGACGTGATTCCCATGAATAATCCAATCCAGTTTGATGGGTACAGCTGTGGGGTATTTGTCGGCTGGATGTTCATCCGTCAAGTGATAACGGGCCACCACCTGGAAATTAACGACGCCATGCTGACCAGACGCCGCTTCGAACTCTTTTACTATTTGCTATCTGGACATCTTCTTCCCGTGGAGACGCCCACTTCACGTGACACTACGGAAGACGACGACACGGAGGAGAAAGCACCAGCCCCAAGATATGCTGGAGAGGACGATGCAGAGGACAAAGTTCCACCTACGCAGAGATCTGCAGTGGCTGACGACGCCAAGAGCGAGGTACTACATGTACCCACACAACCTGTGCAGTGAAGAGCAAGACGAAAAGAAAGTTATACGCAGCGTAGGTTTAACACCATCTAATACATATTTCATCGCCAGACACCTACCATAACCATGTTCTGAGGTTTAACATGGGAACGAGTACTGTAGTAACACAGCGAGCTATGCTTTGAGTGACAAAGTATTAATCCTGGATAGGATCCTGGACGGTTGCTTCTTCTTCAGATGAAGACTCTGTTCAATGGCGTATACCTTCTTAATTTGTTGGAACAGCAATTGTAGATTCTTCTCGGTGCACTTGTACTGGCCCCACGTATCGGGATCAATCAACCAAAATCGGTCAGCCATTTTACGTGGCTGATAGCGTGGAACACACCTTTCTTTTGACCATGAGGCGCTCCAATAATAATGAGACGATGACGTGGTGAATCCACAATTTCCTACAGTAAGCATGTCTTGGGCAAATGAAATTCCTTCTTTGGTCGCGACAAATTTATCATGTCATCCAAGTCCTGACCCGTAACCGAGTTCGTTGCCAAGCGATCTCGCCAGTCCACAATTGAAGACTGAAGAAGTTGAGATGCAGGGAGGGCTGAGAACCCTCATCACCAACCGTTACTTGTCACATCTTATATTGGACAAATACAACCACTTTCTCTTTTGCTACTTCTGCAAGACTTCAAGCTTTCTTCTTTATCGGTTCCTCGTCGATCTCACTCCCAGCAACAATCCTGTGACGGTATACTATTAATCCTGGATTACGCACAGCCCCACATTGTGAATCTTCGAATCTTACCGTATCTTTCCCATATGATCATCACTTAAGTACGATAATCATGTCCATGATTAATCCTGGCCTCAGCCGTGTACAGACCCATGTAATTAATCCTGGCCTCCAACAGCCGCCTTTTTTTATTCCCCTTTATGCATCCATTGGAGAGTTTTCAAGGCGGGAACTGAATGCAGATCATTTGCAAAATGAAGTACGTCAGTAATTGTGGGAAATGGGCCTAATTTCCCACACCTTCCCATATCTTTAAATTCCATTGTCGTGTGAAGATTTAGATGGACCCTAAGCGTACTAAAGTACTAGGTCTTGGTTCTTACCCGTGCAATTTTTTTTAGCTCATACGTGCCTTTAGCTTGGACAGTATAGCCCATGATGTACCGCAATAAACTTTATTGCGGGAAATGTGGGTTAGAGAGCGGCATGAAGATACTTTAAAGAGCCGGCACAATTGCCTAGGGAAAATCATTGAGAAGCCGGACAAGGCGTGCCAAAAGGTTCACTCTGTTACCGGTACATGGTTTATAATTTCAAGCTTACACAATGTAACACTGTTCGATCATGTCGGGGCTTTCTGCTTGAAGCAATCACTATTATTAATTTCGATGGGTCTCGTTTCCTTGGATATCTTTCGGTGTCACCTAGTTCAAGTAAAGCAAGACCGACATACGCTGCATGTACATGTACATTTATCTTCAAAATGCTTTCAAAAGTACAGTGAGCCGGATACGTAATACAAATACTACATGTAGCATGGCCAAAACTGTAACGAAGGTGGCCACTAGAGGTCGGTTCCAGTTAATTTGAGCGGCGTAACTCACCGATGTTGCATTAGTTGTGGATGATCTTTTCGGTTCGGCAATGTCCGAGCTCTCTTTAGTTTTCAACTTCAGCTCTGCGTGGGCCACGACAGCATCAGGCGAAGTAGACAAAGCCGACAACGGCTTCACAGTGGCTTCTGCTGAGTACTCAACCGGCATATTGGGCATTCTGATGATCTGCTCTTGGCTGAAGGATCCGTCAATTGTGGAGCGGAGTTGAACTTCCTTGTCTGCAGTCAAGCGAACCAACCCGTTTGTAGTGACTGTGTAAAAAATTGCTCGCATACTCTGCATAGAGCTTCGACTCTGAATCACATGGAAGGCCTGCAGCGCGGGCGAGGTTCACGTCGCGACGCCAGTGCATCATCTCGATGAATCGGTCCGTGGAAGGAACGATATTGTCTGAGCCAGGGTACTTGTCGATATCAACACCGATCTTGAGTAGGGTCTCGGCAGCGGATCGAATAGGAAAGTTAGACAGCTCACACTCTGGGATACCAGCGAGAAGTATCGACGTGAAGATGGCACGACAAGCGAGCGAACGGGACATGGCTCCAATTTGCTTGGGCGTCGGGTGTGTACCGGAGGATGGGAAGATCTTGTATCGCCCCTCGGACACACAAGTCTGGAAGACCATGGTGTTTTTCGCGTAGAGCTCGTAGACTATCGTGACCACCGAGGCGTCACAGCTTTTATCGACTACAAGTGCGAACGTAGCAGACTGAGGGGCTACGGACGCGATTGGAGCCAGCTCTATAACTCGTATGACAGGTCGAGAAGAAGTAGGGAGAGGAAGAAGACGTTACTTGTAGGCGTCAAAAGACGAAGTGAGTACTTTATTAGTATTAGGAAGCCACCAATAGCTGTACACCAGCCATTAGTGTCTGTATAGTTTAAGCCAGTCATACCGACTTAAACAGGACCTCCTAAATCTGGTTATAATATTTTGGAGTGACTAGGTCAAGGTAATCAAACTGTTTAGAGGCTACTTAAACAGCCTCCCTGCCTCTGAACATATTTTATCAAACTGACAATTCTATGTTATAACAGAGGTAAAACTTTCTTTAAGGGACTTTTCCTCAGTCCTTGAAACGCCGCCAGGAAGTCGCTTAGGCTAGCCGATCTGACTTTGCCCTGCAGCTTCTGCTAGGGAAGGAGGACGCTAAGTGACACGCCTGGTAGGAACTCAAGGATGGAGCCCAACATGTCGTCTCTACTTGCCGCTGCTACGAAGCAGGCTCCCTCGCATCGGTAGAGGCTATTTCGGTGGGCACTGAGACCTTCCGATCTGCAAAGAGCGCTTCTTATGAGGGAGAAGAAGAAGCGGGCGCCGCGGACAGCACTGCAGCTTGCGCCAGTTCTCATCGCCACGCTGGAGGAGGAAGGGAAGGGGCTTCTCGAGCACACGTGGCCACCACTCCATCGAAGAAGTCACTAAGCTGGGGTATTTAGTGATGATGTCATTTGTCACACAGAAACCACAAAATCTACACATTATGACACCGACTACGTGTCCAGTGACACAAATGCTGAAGGTGAAAGCGACTGAGATGTACTGGCGTATCTCTAACAAATTTGTTGTTAAGCATGGATTATTATTGATAAACTCATGTGTCTAGATAATTCGGTACTTGACCAGGGAAACCTCAACGAGGGAAAACCTTGTGCGAACAAAAAAGAATAAACCCCAGTGGGAAAAATTCTAAAAAGAACGCAGAATATAGACACGCTTCATGCGCTTGTATTATCAGGGTATTTCTAAACTGAGTGGCCGGATCCTGCTTTCAGACATTTCATCCTGAGCTTGGCCCTTAGTTCTCTACACTGGTGCTTATCTAAAGCTTTAGTAAAGATGTCAGCTATCATCTCTTTCGTATTGCAGTAGGTGATGTTGAATTCATGCCGCTCTACTTTTTCTTGCACGAAACAGTATCGTACGTGTATATGTTTTGATCGTCCGTGAAGTTCGGGGTTGTAGCAGATTTTGATGCAGCTCTGATTATCCTCGTATATTGTGTTAGCCTGCGTTGTAGCAAAGCCAAGTTCGTTGAGGAGAAGTTTGAGGAATATCATCTCTTGCATGCAGTGACACAGGGCGATATATTCTGCCTCTGTTGTAGAGAGAACTACAGTATGATGCTTACGCGAAATCCATGAGATAGGACCGCTAGCTAGCATTGTCACGTATCCTCCAATGGAGCGTCTCGAGTCGGGGCAGTTGGCGTAGTCAGAGTCACTGTAGGCAATTAGTTGATCGGCAAGGTTTTCCGATGTAATATCGGTCGAGCCTCCCAGAAGAAGACCGTATTCTTTCGTTCCAGATAGGTACTTTAGACCACGAATGACTGCTTTCCAGTGATCCATACCTGGATTCGCTAGAAATTGGCTGACCTCTCGCATGTAGAATGCCAAATCGGGTCGAGTGCCTACCATTAAATACATGACACTACCTACAGCTTGTCGATACGGAATCGATTTCATCGCATCTTTCTCTTGCTCACTGCTGGGCTGGCTGCTTACGGAAAGTTTAGCGTTCCGTTCTGCTGGTGTTGCAATAGGGTACGGAATGTAGTCGCTGAAGCGGTCAATGACCTTCGTAGCGTACTTGTGCTTGTGGATAAACATCGTTCGGTTTTTACGGTCACGTTGAATTGACCAGCCGAGTAAGTACTTCACCTCCCCTAAATCTGACATGGAGAAACGCTTTTTTAAGGCTGATTTTAGCTCACCGACGAGTGCTGGTGTAGGCGCATTGATCAGTAAGTCGTCGACGTACACTGCAATGTAACAGGTGATGTCAGCAACTGTGCGTCGAAATACGCATCGATCTTTAATGAGTTTCAGGAACCCGAGATTCTCTAGGAAGGCAGACAAGGTTTGGTACCATACACGAGGCGCTTGTTTAAGCCCATATAAGCTCTTAAGAAGTTTACATACTAGGTGCTCCTTGCCCGGGATTTTGAAACCTTCCGGTTGAGCCATGTAGATCTCCTCTTCCAAGTAGCCATTAAGGAATGCTGTCTTAACATCCATTTGATGGACTTCAAAGTCGAGAAGAGCTGCAATAGTAAGAAGTAGTCTAAGTACCTCCATCCTGATGACAGGAGAGAATATCTCGTTGTAGTCGATGCCATATTCCTGAAGGAATCCTTTGATCACAAGACGCGCTTTAAAGCGGTCGATCTCGCCAGTGCCGGTATACTTTACTACAAAGATCCATCGGCTACTTAAAATCTTCCTTCCTTTAGGAGGGGATACCAACACCCAAGTGTGATTGTCCATGAGGGACTTGTATTCCGATTTAGCTGATTTACGCCACTGGTTAGCGTGGGAAGACTTCATTGCTCCCCGATACGTAGTGGGCTCAGACACATACCGAATAGCTAGTAATGTGTACAGTAAATGCTGACGTTGCTCCTGTTCGTGTATGTCTTCCTCAGAGTTGAGGGTTACGTCATTGGCTTCCTCAGAGCTATCAATGGCTTCCGCAGAGAGGCGGGGTCGCTTAGGAGTCGAATGATGCGGAGGATCAGAGTCCGTCTCTGTTCGAAAAGAATAATGTATGGCTGTTCGATCAACAGCCTCCCTCAGTGAGGGCAGTACACGCTGGTTCACTGTGCCTGGCGCTGTTGTCATTGCAGGGCCTGATGTGGGTGACGGTGTGATCACTGGTTCTGACACATGTTCAGGCTCCGGTGCTACTGTAGTAGCAGTTGCAGGTGGCAGAGGTACATGTGCAAGTGTAGCGGTAGATTTCTGCCGATTCGTGGACTGTGTGGTCTCTGGAGTAGACGTCAGGCCTGTGAGAGAGGGAAATTCGTCCTCTTTAAAGACTACATCACGACTGTAGATAATTGCATGAGTATTGATGTCCATCAGACGGTAGCCTTTCTTATGGTCAGGCACACCAAGATACATACACAAACGGGCTCAAGCGTCGAGTTTGTCTCGGTATTGCTCCGTGATGTGGACATATCCGCTGCATCCGAATACTTTGATGTACTGCATGGATGGAATACGGTTGTGCCAAAGCTAATACGGGGTTCGTCCATCCGTCTTGGAGCTAGGAGTCATATTGATGAGAGTGGTCACATGACAGACACACTCGGCCCATAACTGCTTCGGTAGCTTTTGTCAAGTAGAAGGGCTCGGACACGCTCCATAATGGTACGCATGCGGCGTTCTGCAACTCCGTTTTGCTGAGGTGTGTATGCATTGGTAAACTGGGCGTGAGTTCCATACTTTTTAAATATGATGCGGCCAAGCTTCTCGTACTCTTTAGCGTCGTCTGCTTGAAGCCGCTGAATCTCAAAGTTACCCTGGTTTGCATTGTCTTCAACACTGAACGCGTACTCTATGACAGATATATCTTGTCTGAAAATATTCAGGGCTTTCTTCCTGAAGTCTTCGTAACAGCCATACAACTCGCTACGGCTCTTAATTGCATAAGTGAACATGAATCGAGAAAAGTCATCGATGAAGATCAAGAAGTAGCGACAACCAGTAAGGCTAGGCACAGGTAGTGGACCACAGATATCTGAATGGACTTTTGACAAAGGTGATGTAGCACGTTTAACAACTCTATTAGAGTAAAATGGGGAGCGGTGTGACTTCGCTAACGTGCAGGCAACACAAAAGAAATCTGTCTTTGGACCCAGAGGTATAGATCCATCGAGTCCATGTATGGCCTGACTCCTAGATAGGTCATTCAAGACACGAACGTTAGGGTGTCCAAGGCGCTTATGTAAGAGCAGAAAGGAACGTTGCTTACCTGAGGCAATAAGAGCCGCTGGAGGTGCCGCTGGTTTGGCTTGGAACTGATACAGATCCGTGTTGGTAGCCATGAGCGCTTTGATCTTGAAGCGCTGGTCAGTTTGCATAGAGCACTGTTTGCGGTCAAAGTTGAAGCGAAAGTCGTGCTTCACAGCTGCTGGAATTGAAAGCAAACTGAATTGAAGCTGGGGAGCATACAGGACGCCATGAAGGATAAGCTTCTGCATAGTGCCCTTGGAGTCAGTGACTTCCAGATCGACCCGTCCAATGCCTTCGATGGGGATTTGGTTATTACCACCAACCGTAATGGATCCACCACTGGAGGTGATGTCGGTAAGCCACTGAGACTCATGGGTGACGTGTCGAGTGCAGCCAGAGTCGATTGTCCAGGTGGGATCGGGTTCCATCTTGGCTTGAGCAGTGAGGCTAAACGGGAGATTGACTGTGGTAGCAGCAGCGATGAGACCGGTGTCACGACGTTTTTGGCGAGTTACCTTGCGGTTGTTTCCAGAATCACTGTCGTCGTCATCGTCATTGTCTGACTCAAGCGGGCGGTCCTTGTAGCGATCTTGACCGCGTTGTTTGCCGCCATTTCCGTGCTTGTTCTTGCTACTACTGTTGTTGCCCTTGAAGTCGCGGTTGTTATTATTCTTGCCGTGTCGCCCATTGCCAACTTTGTTCGAGTTCTGGTACGGGTGATCGCGTTTCGAGTTACCCTTGAAGGCGAAGTTAGCAGGTAGCACTGTCCCAGCCTTCACTCGTCCATCTCGCAAATCCTTTTGAAGGCCTCGGCATTGGCGAATGTTGTGGCGTGGGCGATCACAATAGGAACAGACATTGGCGCTGTCACGGTCTTGGGCTTGTGACACAGGAGGTCCGGTAGCCACTAGAGCTCTCTCACCCTTGGTTGCAGAGGACTCTGGTGTGCCCTTGGCCAAAGTGTAGCGCTCTTGAGCTTGAAGATCGCGAACCTTGCCTTCAATGCTCTGCTTGAGGTCTTCATACTGGATATACTTCCGCTGGCCCTTCCCAGGTGCGGAGATCGGCCTTCCACGACTTGGGCATCGAGTGGAACAGGTAGATAGACTTCTGTCCCTCGGTCATCACCGATTCGGTGGCTTCTGACGCGGCTTTCATCGCGTTCTCAAGCTTGAGAAAGAACTCAGTTAAGTCGGAGCCTTCCTCATACTTGATCTCCATCAAGTAGTGTTGAAAGAAGTACGGATCACCATGAAAGGCTGCTCCCTCGTACTTCTGGCAGATGTAGCTGAAAATCTCGAAGGATGTCGTGAGATTCTTGACGAGCCGCACGTGAATGTTGTCCATCGTTTTCATCAAGAAGGAATTGGTCTTGGCTTCTTGTCGACGGCGTTCGCGCTGGCTAAGAGGCTGCTTCTTCTCTTTCTTGGCGCGTTTGCGTGCACGGCGAGCCTCGCGATGGCTAAATGGTCGAACTACCGGGAGGTCCTTCCTCTTGATTGACGTATCGGAGCTGGCTCCAGAGTCTTCGTCCGAGTCCGAGGGCGGCTTGAGCTCGTCATCGCTCTCGTCGTAGTCCACAGCGTCGGAGTCGATTTCGACGTTCTTGGTAGTTTTGGCATGCGGTTCATCGTTGGCATCAGACATTTCGCTGCCACTATCTTCACTCTCGTCTTCCGACACACCGTCGTAGTCGGGCTGCTTCACGTAGCCGAGTAGGTGCTTGCCATCTAGTGCTGCGCACACACGGGTCTTCCAGACGTCGAAATTCTCGGCGCCAATGAGACGTGGGAAGTCGCTTGGCTTGGGCTCATAACCTATAACTCGTATGACAGGTCGAGAAGAAGTAGGGAGAGGAAGAAGACGTTACTTGTAGGCGTCAAAAGACGAAGTGAGTACTTTATTAGTATTAGGAAGCCACCAATAGCTGTACACCAGCCATTAGTGTCTGTATAGTTTAAGCCAGTCATACCGACTTAAACAGGACCTCCTAAATCTGGTTATAATATTTTGGAGTGACTAGGTCAAGGTAATCAAACTGTTTAGAGGCTACTCAACAAGCTCGAATGCAGCATTTTGAGTGTCTTGAGTACTGGAGTGGCGCACTAGCAGCACGATGACGAGTAAACGCAAAACGGAGACGAAAACACTCATCACGTTGAAGATGTTCGTCTACAACAATCGACGGCGATGTCCTGATCTGGGAAGAAAAACTCAAGTGGCACAGCAAAGGGGAGTTTCGGTGTCGTCATGTGCCTGTGAGTGCGATGCAAACCAACCGGAAGTTCTCTCTACCAACAACTGAATGGCAAACTCTATTCTTATGCCCAATGCATTATGGGTTTGGGTTCTGAACGTTGTTTGTTGACACACAGACTACTGACAAACATCGACGAAGGTATTAAAACATCGTAGAAGACTAAACCTACACTATTGCGACGATCATCGCTGCCGCCATGAAAGCTGTTCGGAGCCTATCCCAGCTCGAAGACCCAGCGCTTTTTGATCTTGCTTCTGCAGGAGGAATGCCCGGTTCGGTATCGGGTTTCTCGATCACAATGGTGTCGTTGAACGTAGCTGCCGAGGCTGAGCCGACACTTCCAAAAGCACTACTGGAGCCGCGTAGAATCGGCAACTCAGGGAGTGCCATGATTTTCTCTTGACTAAACGGAGTGTCCGTGTCGGGTCGGTATTCCACCTTCATACCCGTCGTTAGACGTACCAAACCGTCCGTCGTCATTGTGTACAAACTGCTGGCATATTCCGAATACAGTTTTGAGCTGGAATCGCAAGGAAGCCCGGCAGCTTCAGCGATATTGACGTCACGTCGCCAGTGCACCATGTCCACGAAGCGTGGCGTGCTCGGAATTACGGCGGGAGACATCGGGTAGTTTCTAATATCGACTGTGATCTTGAGGAGGGTCTCACTTGAAGCACGGAGTGGGGAGCCACCCACATTGCACTCCGGGGTGCCCGCGAGCAGCGCAGAGCTGAAGAGAGCGCGGCAAGCGAGCGACCGAGCCATATTACCAATGTGTTCCGAGGTGGGGTAGGTGCCGTCGAAGGGGAAAATCTGGTATTTTGCATCGGAAGCACATGCCTGAAATACCATGGTATTCCGCTCGTAGAGTTTGTAGATTGCCGCCTTGGCTTGAGGGTCGCATTCGGAGCTGTTGACGAGTGAAAATGTCGGCGAGCCTCGAGTCGCCTTTGCGATGGGGGCAGGCTCGAACACTGCACGGGGTGGGCTCTGAGCGATTGTCAGAGCGACGGATCGTGCAAGAAGAAGCACGTTCAACATTAATTGCACGAAATTCATCGTCGCGGGTGGTCTGTAAAAGTACAACTGACAAGGCTGGCGCTGTGGTGGATACCGGTACTTGACTCTGTCACCTTACCTTCACCCGGGCCAAGAACATTGTGTTTGGTCAACAGCTCAGTAGAAATTGGGTTGGATCACATTGGGTCATGGATACTGCACGCGCGTCTTGCACATGCTGGTAATAAGAACACCATGTGACGGATACAGAACAGCTCCATTCAGGAATAAGAGTCGACCGATTGCCGCAAAACAGACAACATCTTACGGAAAGGGTAGGATCACACTATAAGGGAATAAATTTCTAATACTGTTGGGGTTCGAGAGCTTGTCTACGATGTCATGAGCAACGCACCGAGCAGTAAGCTCGCCACAGTGACAATACTACCATGACCTACAGATTGCGCAGAATTATCCTCCGAGGTTGAATTCTTTGCGACGTTCCTTGCTTCACTGTCGCTCACTTCGGAGTTACCATAGCCAGTGGAGACCTTGCCTGGTGCGTCTTCGTCACTATTACTTCCAACTGTGGTATAGTCGTCGTCATTGGCGTCATACCACGAGCCACTAGCGAGTTTATACTCAATCCGGTAGTTTGACAGCATGCGAATGGAGCTGTTGCTGCGAGCAACATGCAGATTCTCCTCGTATTCCGTGTATAATTCCGAGCCCGAGTCATAAGGTACACCTGCTTCTTTGGCGAGGTTCACGCATCGACGCCACGACAGCATTTCCTGGAACCGCTCTGCACTCGGTGATGGCGCGTACCCGTTGACTACATCCACGTGAATCTTCAGCAGAGTCTCCGCCGCTGCCTTGAACGGAAAGCCAGAGATCGTGCACTGAGGAAAGCTCGCAAGCAAAAGCCCCGTGAAGACAATGTCGCAGGAAGTGGACGTCGCCATTGCCTGCACCTGAGTAGTCGAGGGCTCCGTTCCGAGGAAGGGGAAAATTTGGTACTGGGCGTCTGACACGCACGAGTCGAAAAGCGCGCGGTTCTTGTTGTAGATGACGTAGATCATACTGGATACGGTGCTGTTACAGTCGATGTTGTCGACGAGCTGGAAGGTAGTGGAGGTGGACGACGGAGCGTTGATCGGCGCTAAAGTCACCTCTGTCGACGACGATGACGATGATGAAGAGGATGAAGTGGTGGTCATAGGGCTGGCGGTCTCTTCGGTTTGGAACTCCACGGAGCCACCAAGGGACCCAGAGCCTGAGGCGCTGGCCTGCGAGACGAAAAACCCCAGCAGCAGCGCGAGCATCCGAGCAACTGCCATGGATGAGAGCTTTTGTTATTGGACGAGTGCGCGCGGGACTTTCCGCTACAACTTAGGAATTGACTCAATTATTGAGCTGCTCAATTTGAGCTTGAGAGCTCAGAGCACCGATCAGAGAGGGTGAGTCGCAGAGACATGTGTCATGAAAATCATACGAATGCAGAATCGAGTCAGAAGAACCTATTCACAAGAATTGGCTTGATATAGAGGATTGCAGGATTATCATCTTCACCAAACCTTTTTTACGTCTTTTAAATTTTATAGTATGCTCTGATCATGCATATCAGCTTTGCCAACTTTGCAGGACACCACGCAGTGTGCACCTTGGAGGTACCCAATTTTTCAAGCCACAGACTACTACGTAGTATTATTAATAAACATTGCTTTTGCATTGGCGGTACAACGCAGATACTCTAGCCTGGCTTAAGCTCAGCCCCTCCTCTGAGGAGCCCTCACCAATTCAGGCATCATCCGAGGGCGTTACTCTCCGGTAGAGTCAAGACTCGCTCACCAATTCCAAAAGCTCCGTCCGCCACTTCAACGTTGGCTGCCAGTCAAGGGGTGTGTTGCACGTTGCGTTCATGCGTAAGCCAAAGTCGGAACAGCGTTGTGTAAATAATCTGACTGTGTTTCATTTTAGTCGCCCAGCAAGCGCGACAGAGGCGAAAACAGCTACTATTACTATTTGCAGACTCAAAAGAGTAGGGGCGCAACGCGCTGCAGCGACCGACGACTCGATTACGACTCCAGTGGATCCGCTGGGTGACGACCATGAACCGGTCGCGCTACTAGCGATCGCGTATCCGGGGACCAAGTCAGTTCTGTCACAATGAGGTCGATTGCGTCCTCAAAAGTCTCGTACGCTCCATTGGGCAGTCGAACGTCCACCGATAAATCCTCATTCACGCGGATCGTGGTGTTCTCGCGAGCGGCGTTCAGGTTGGTCTCGAACTCGGCGAAAAGTTCCGAGCTACTGTCGTAAGGTACACCAGCAGCCTTTGCCCGATCAACTTCATATCGCCAAGCTACAAGCTCCAGGAACTCGTCGACAGAAGGGGCTTCCTCCTCATGACGTTGGTCAAGATCTACACTGATCTTCAGTAAAGTTTCGACGGCACTAAGAAGAGGCATGCCACCGACCGTGCAGGTCGAGAAATTGGACTCAATCACGACAATAAATACGGCAACGCAGGGCATCAGACCCCGCCATGTCTTGGATTTGAGTTTGTGTCGGGTGCTTGCCCTGGAACGGGAAGATCTGGTAGTGTGAAGCCAGCACACACAAGTCGAAGGCGGAGCGGCAGTTCGAGTACAAAGTGTAGATTTTATCCACTTCTCTCTTGCTGCACTCAATGCTAGCGACAGACTGGAAATGTAGAAGAGTCTGGTTCTGGTTGAGCAGTGGCAGCTTCGTCGTCGTCCTGCTCGGCATCACCATCGCTACCGTTGACGTCATCCGCTTCACGATAGCCGAGCTGGTGCCTGAGTTGCTGGATTCGACGCTGGAGCTTGTTATAATTAAAGGAGGAATCGTCGATTGCGAAGTCGAGGCGCTGGACTCATCAGGCCTACCTCCAGACTCAGTTACGATAACGGGTTCATTCGCCACTGGTGTTGGGGCTACTGGCATTGAAATAGGTGTCTCTGTTGGGGTTTGTGTAGTGATTACCGGTTGCTCTGTGGCTAGCGTATCGATGGTTGGCGTCGCCGTTATTGGCGCAGGATATGCAATAGAAGAAGCGATCCCGTCTGAGCTTGAAGCGCCTACAGCATCGCTCCTCTCTTCGACACTATCTGCTGTAATTAAGGTGAAGTCCACGGGTGCGACTTCAGTCGCGTGTCGCGATTGCATGGCAGTATGCCCTCGAACACTGGGACTAGACTCGGAAACTACGCCATGGCTCGCAACAATTGCCACCAGCGCCCAAGTCGAAAAGGCACGCATCATGACTGCACGTTGAGCCAGGTAAGACAACTGTGACTTGTATCCTACGTTCATTCAAGGAAATCTGATCATGATCGACTTTCCCATGGGCTCGTCGTTGCTCTTGGAACATATGATACCGGTGGTTTGGTACCGATACCGGTACAAATGAAAACCAATCTTTGATGTCTTGTGTGGGGGGGCCTTGCAGGCTTCAAAGTGTAGCCTTTAAGCGTTGCTGCGTTACAAATTGTAGCTACCGGTAGCTTTAGGTGCTGATGAACGTCGAACCGTCGTGATTTTTTTCAAAAGGTCGACGCTGCCGGTAGTTGATCTAATTACTGTAGTATTAGGTTCATCTCGATCCAATGCGAGCCACTTATTATTCACGGACAAAATAGCGGGGATGTTGAGGTCTATTATACTCCCCTCACGAGCACAAGAACATAAAATGGCGACTACAGTGTAGAACTGTTCTACCTCGCCATCGTCGTGAGGACTTCCTCGTCGTTTATTAGAATCGTGACTAGCTCACGGATTCCGGCGTCCAACTGCAGCACCTCGACGCAACGGTTGTCGCACTGACGCTCCAGCATTGATTTCGCAGATAACTCGGCCTCCAGCTTTCTAGATAATCCCAGCAGCTTCGTGAATTGTTCACCTTTGCCTGTGTCTTCAGCTTTTAGCCAGCGCAATCGTTTTGTCAGCTCCACTTGCAAAGCCACCACTTCTTCCACATTTCGTTCCAGCTTACCGAATGCCTTTACGAACTTGCTGTGGGGGACGTCTATCAGCTCTGTTCCCGATGGCTGCTGCAGAAGATCGAGATCCGGCTGCCTTCCCTTCCACCGCTGCGCGATAATCACGGTCAACTTTGCATCGCAACGAGTCTTTTCCTTCCTGATAGACCCCATCAACTCTTTGATATCTTGGAGATGCTCCATCGCCTCAGTATTGTTCGACTTTGCCATGCTCTTTATCATGTCCATCGAGTCATCGACAGCCAATTCATTGAGATCAATTTGCTCAACCAACCGTGTGTAGTCGCCTAGTGGACTCTTCCTGTCGAAATCTCTGGTGACTTCACGCGCCTTCGCAAGTAATTCGGATGCTGTGCGATGGATTTCTGCGTTGCTAGGCTGATTTCCATCCTCAGTTTCTATTATGGAGCTAGCAGCCTTTTCCGTATAGTATTTATCATTTTCATACTCCGCTTGTTGGGCTTTGTCTATCGTCTGCTCTCCATTGCGATCATCCGAGAGGTCAACAGCGTGAGATCGATTGTCCTCGACTTCTTCACCACTTGCAGGAAATTCGTCATCCTGCGTGATACGAACGCCAGTTCCAGAGCCCTCGGATCTGGCTGTGGAGGCAGCACATGTGTTTGCATCGTCTCCAGTCGAGTTGCGTAATTCTCGCTCGAGATTATCCAGTCGAGCTTGCTGTTGCTGCGACTGTTGCGTTATTTTCTGTGTCCATTTGCGAATACGTTTTGGTAGCTCAGCGAACTCAAGCAGCGTTTCGACCGGAGATCCATGAGACGACTGCGTAATGCCACCGTCAGGATCAATTCGCTGATGCTTCATGCTTCGCTCACATGCGTCTTGAGTAAGTTCTTCGGAAGCACTTCTTTTTGAGCTTTGGAGATTACCGTGCGGACCTTGCTGAGAAGAATCCAGGCTCTGCAGCTTTCTTAGCCGCGAGGTGTGCGCGTTTTCGTGGCTAAGAGAACCAGGTAAGGACGACAATGTGGCATCGTCCTCTCTCTTCCGGCTTGGTTCTTCCTCTGGTTGAGCGAGAGGTTGCTTCGGTGCCGATGCAAGGATGGTTAATGGAGAAGACGCGAGCAGATTTCCCATGTTCGTGGCGAATAGTGAAATGGGTTCTTTTCGTCACATCATCACTTGCGAAATGGGCAAGATCGACCATCACTCCTCGGCAACTTCTTACAGTAGAAGATTAAAGATAATAGAAGACTTTTCTATTATTAATATCTTTAATAGTAGAAGTTTAGTAAAAATAGTGGTCAAAAGAATCCCCCCGAAGGGGCGCTTAGGCCACGAAGGAAGCATCAGAATGTGGACTGCACCTCAGCAGGCCAATACTTAGAGCTTCGCATTGGCTCTTCAGTCGTGTATTTCCAGCTAGTTTAGCAGAAAGCTGGCGGATGAGATGAGCAACGTCGTCAATTTGCGCGTCTTGAGCAGTTCCTTTACTATCCACCACTTCAAGACAGGCTTCCAGCTTCGAGCGTAAGTCCTGAAGGACTTTGTCGCTTTGCAGTAACTCCTCGTAGAGCAACACCAGCCCTTGATGACTTCCAGCTTCGGCCGTCTGCACCTCAGCTTGAGATTGACCCTGTTTGTCCAGGTCAGCTGCTTTACCGCTCCACTCATAAGCCACTACACCAGCCAACACCTTATCTCGCTGTATCTTCACCTCGTTAACTGCCAACATGGCCTCTGCAACCTGGCCAACAAGTTGAACTGCTTCCTCCTCGTTGATTTCCGCAACATGTACGAGAGCATCATTGATGGCAGTTTCGTTGACCACGATCTGCTCAGTGACGCGAATGTAGTGCTCAACTAGGCGAGACTTGACGGGGTCCAAGACGATTCCATCAGCTCCCGTGAGTATTTCCGCTGCGGCAAGCAAAACAGCCGAAGAATTCGGGGATAAATCATCCGAGATTCTGCCACCTTTTGAATCAACAAAGGGTTCTGAGGGTTGTTTCAAATTGGCGTTCTGTGTGGGAGGAATGAGTACCATTGTGCTGGTAGAAGACAGAGGATCATGTTGTTCCGCTTCGTCTGTGGCGAATGCATCTCTGTGCTCATAAAATACCGACTTCGGTGTTTCGGGCGCGCACGTCGATGGGGTGAGCACTAAATCAGCAACTTTCGCGTCGGGTTCGGTGTAGGATGTTTCAAGTCGTCTCTCCAGGTCATTCGGAAAGCAGCTTGCCATTTCTTGAGGAGGCACCTTACGTGGGTCCGCCGGCTCTGACTTGTGATACTTAAATTGACCCTTGACGTTGTTGAGACGGGCAGGTTTAGTCAAGTACTCCCGTGGACTCGTGCCACGTGGAACAGAGCGAGAGTACTTGTTCGGTGACTCAAGACGTTCATCATACTTGAGCCTTTTAGTGGTGATAGTATGGATCCTGTTTGGACTTCGGCTTCGACTACGTGAACGTCGGCGTGACATTTGCATCTCCTTGATCCTCTCGAGCTGTCGAACACGACTGTAGGCGTAGCACTGTCGATAGCGCCGCTCCTCTTCCGGGTGGTTCAGCAATATTCGCAGCGTCAATTTCTTGTGCCAAAGCCACTTCTGGAACACTTTTTCGTACGTCTCGACTGTCTCTCCTGGCCTCAGCACAATTGCGATTGGAGATAGCATCTCAGTAGGGTCCATGTATCCATTTGGACCGTAGTGCTTAATCCTCCAGTTGAAGCGGTCTACAGACGCCACCTCGGTCTTCAGCAGCTCGCAGCGACTGCGCGTTGTCTGGCACTGCTCTGGCTGCAGCAGCATATTTGCTGTTGGCGTCTTGTGTACACACGATTCAAACTGGACTGGTGGTGCCTGTCCCCCCGCGTCTTCTCTGACTTCCCCTTCCTCTTCACTATCCGGCGAGTCGTCTGACATGCTACGCTGCTGGATAGTTTGCAGCTGCTGCTGCTCCCAAGCCCTTAAATTGTCGAAGTCATGTCGAAAGAGCTGCTCAACTTCCGGTCTATCTTTCAACGATTCGACTATCACACTCCTGGCACCCAGCCAACGTTTGAAGTCATCTTCGTATTGCGCCACACTCTCTTCGGATCGAAGTCGACACTCAACTGATGACGGCAGCAGAGCGGGGGTTTCCATTGCGCTATCACGCGGAAGATTGCGGAATGGCTCAACAGAGTGCGGAACCGAGCGAGGTGACCATCACTCTTTATCAGCTTCAACTTTGGTAACGTGTCGGCTCTAAGGACGTACCGTGGACGTTCGAAAGAAATGGGGGCCTGTGAACGAACCGCAGCAAAGTTCTAGCGAAATATTAACAGTTGTGGACGCACAGGCTATCGTTGCTCGGGGAAATTATAGTTGATGCTTGCAAAAAAATGAAGAAAAAAAACATTGCTTTCGTGCCAGGAATACCAGAATCTGTGATGATTCGTTGATAGTTGGCAGGCAGTCGGAGTATTCCGGCTCAAACACGACGTCACGCTGATGAGGATCAATTGTCTTCCACTTCCGACACATATCAAATTAAGGTAGCGTGTAAAATCTGCGCACCATCCTTCTAATTAGGAAACAGAGACTAGACTGGCGTTCGAGGGCCGTTTTTTTTCTTGGAACTCTCTCCATAGCAATTAGCTCAACCTCCTCGACACTACGACTCGTAGTACGAGGGTCCGACAACCGTGAGCTTGGTCCATCACAATCGCGCGCCTTAGCTCTCTGTCGCAGAGCTCCTAAGCTCAAGAGCCCGCAAAGTCAAGGTGTTCTAGTCTACATGTAGAACTTCTAGACTGGGTTATCTTGTAGCGACATCAAACTGTGTTTGCATTGCTGTTCCGTCGTCTCAGAAGCATGGGAATGTTAAAACAGTAAAACCTGTCCTGAATGAACCTCGAGAAACCTTATATACTGTCGTACATGATATAATTCATGTCCACCAAGTTCGTTCTTAGAGATTACTTCTATGGATACGAAATTTTGAGGACAGCAAGTGTAAGTATATAGCTAGGAAAAAGTTATAATTAATTTGATGTTAGTCAGGCTGCAGGAGCCGCAATCATTAATACATGTATGCATATGTAGACCGCCACTATTTAATAACTTCGACTCCATTTCAGTATCGAACTCTCTAAAAACACATAAAATGATGATCATTTTCACCGATAGAGTTTAGATGGACTACTGTCTTTTTGTGTACATGTATACCATTGTGCCAGACTAAACTTTAGTCCAGACTATTAATCGTTACAATTTTTGGTACATACCTGCCGACTTACCTCATTTTATTAAAAATCGACGATGAAGCTTTAAGTGAGAACGACAAACGCATTGAAAAGCACAATAAGTCGACCAGAATGCCATTTGATAATGGCAAATCACCTGAATCTGAAGAGCAAAAATAACCGGAATTATATACTATTCTTTTTTTAAAAGTTATGAGAAGATATTTACAATCAAGGCTAAGCACATTAACATCATGCAGCAGAGAAAATGGTGTGTGTGCGTAGATTACCCGCACGCAAATTGCATTTTGCTATAATTTAACTCGCAAATCGTATCATGAAGCGTCGCTTTCAGTTGCTATTGTTACCGTCGCTAATAAAGTGAACAAGAGTGAGGTGCCAATGGATATAACCCGCCCTGCAAGCAATGGCATAGAACTGAGAGAAGAAGACGCTTTGGCTGCGACACAGATCAGCATGACGGCGACGCGTAGTAAACTCGAAAATCTCATGAGCAGCTTCACGACGTTCGACGACGTCATGCGCATTGGAACGCGGGTAGAGCCCATCCCTCTGAAAATGTAAAACTTGTGATAATTGTGTGCGCGCTCGCGTGTTTGTGTGTGTTTATAGCAACGTCGCGAGAAAGATGAGTGTCGCTTAGCTGAGATGCGGCAGGAGATGAATTCCTTGGAGAATAAACTCGAGGCAGAAATCAAGAAGCGGATTGGGATGGCCAAGTCGCTACAGAATTACTGCGACGAGCAGGTGGCTCAAATGACTGAAGCTTTCGAGAAACTGCTAGGCGATCGCGCAAAGCAAGTCGACAACCGACTCGACAACCTGACGCAGGAAATCACTAATATTCAGGCACTTGTCGCCAAGGAAAAACACGAAATCCCGCTAATGATTGAGAATAAGACGAATGAGCTCACGCAGAAGCTCATCGCGTTCATGGATTCGTTCGAGGAAGAACGCCAGCGACGTAGTAACCAGGAAGCGATGATTTTGAAGCGTTTGAGTGACCACGAGCATGCAACGGCTGAATATTTTGAGCGTGAGCGGGTAACTTCATGTCCTGCTGAGGTTTACGTGGGGTGCACAATGTCGGTGTTAATTGTATTTTGTCGACACGTTATAGCATGATCGCGAGCTGAAATACTCAGGCCTGAAGAATGCCCTGGACGCGTATTGTTCTACTCGGATACGCGGCGATGATAGGTTTCACGCATTTGCACAAGAAGAGATTGCGAACATTCAAAACGCACTGGTCACTGAAGCGCAGGTACGAAAACTTGTGTAAATATTGCAGAATTGCTCTGCACTAACGCTTTTAAATATTCTTAGGCCCGGGAACGCGAAGACGACGAAATCGTGGAAGCTCTCAATCGCTACACCGCCAAGTTGCAGGACAGCCTCAAGGTAATTACGAGTCCAAACGAGTGACATCCAGCCGTAACTAGTTACAGTGAAGTATTGCTTGGGTAAGCTTTTGCAACAAATCTCATTTTTTCTTAGCATTCGACCGTAGTTCGGTGCAGTTTTGTTAGCTGCGACCAGCACTACGTTGTGGAGCTTCACGAACACCTGCGCTGGGCCTAGAAGCTAAGAGACAGAGATCAAAACCTGTTTCTGCTACCTTAAACAAGAGCGAAAACAATAATATTTGATCCGGTCGATTAATATTATTTTCGCTCTTGATGGGGGTGTCAGCAGTACGTCTGATTTAGTCTAGACCACCCTTGCCCTGGGAGGTCGTTGGCATGGCAAAATCCCATGAAAACTAATTTTTAGAGCATATATTAGTACGAGCCGAGCGCCTTTGGGTTTAGCTCGACTCCGCTACGACTAATTATTCCAAAAAGAGAACATATTTGCCAAAATTGAGTTATTTAATTTCATAAATCTGGGTATAATTTAGATCACCGGGCACGAAATGATTTTTAAGCAGTCTTTAGTAAGCCGTGCAATTATTTTTACAAAAGACTGAGCTCCCAGCATCATGCTTACCCGATGAAAAATACTTGTTCAAATTGTCTTGATACAATGTCTTTATTATTGTTGGCTATCACCGTATCTTCATCTTCCACCCAAAACCACTTGCACTGCTGTTTGTCGCTCAGTGCAAATGTAGAAGTGAATATATTATTTTGGCTAGTCTGCACTAACTTCCTCTTAATACTGAGTGGTCGTCCGTTTTAAAACTTCTCTCGCTCACAGTAGTTATAAAACTACTTTTTGCTCAGTGTTGTTGTTGCTTGGTCAATCCCAGCAACGGCAGCACGCTGTAGGTTCATCTACAACAATTCCCCCCCCAATAGTAAGTTCCATGTAGAAATGCACGTGATCTTCCGCTGGATCGCTGATTGTGTTGATTGAGTCCTTCTCCAACACTACCCGAGTTGAAAAGCTTTGCGTAGCGCTTTCACAGGGCCTAGGTTGCTCTTCGTACGAGCAAAACCCTTCACGGCAGCTGGAACATCCTGAAACAAATTGGTTGCAGGCTCCCAGGAGTCCTCCGCACTGTCAAATCCTTGCCAACGCACCTTGATCTGGTGGCGCTTCTCCTGGCGGTTGTAGCGAGCCTCTAATAAGCTATCTACAACATGACCTTCGCTGTTATGAGCGATATGGAGCAGTAGTTCCTCAGTTTTGTTGAGAGATCTGTCGGCATAAAACTTCAATCTGCTGGCATGTGCCTCTTTACGTTGGCCTGTTATCAGATTCTGTATCTCAAAGACCCAATTGGACACCGTAGCGACCACATGAGCTGGTCCACACCACTTAATCCGAAGCTTGCTACGTGTATGTTGCCACACATCCGCATACAACACGAAATCGCCTATGTCAAATTGCGTCATTACCGCTCCTTTTTTCTTGTCATGGGTACGGCGCCCAGACGCCCGAAGGGTAGCATTCACCTCGGTAATTCTTTTGTGCATGTTCTCTAGTGCCCCTTGCAGACGCGTCACATTTACACGCTGCTTCAACTGTATTTTCTCCAGGGTAGTCGTTTTGAAAGGTCCTGGGATAACGAGGTGATCGCTAGGTCCCATCGCCTTAAGCCCAGTCATTGCTGTAATTGGAGCCACACCACCCAATGCTGGTGATGGTGTGTTGTTCAAGACCATCTGCACGATCTTGATAACGCTAGGCCACTCGCGAGGCTGCAGCATCCATTCAGACAGAAGTGCCCTGCAGCAACGCAGAACCTTCCGCATAACTACCTCCACGGTACCGTTTGCCCAAGGGCAGCGAGCGGTAGTGAAATGATGGTGCGCTCCAAGTGCATGTTGAAGTGCTTCAATAGTTTTGTTCTTAAAATGCGTGCCTTGATCGCTTACCCAAAATCTGCATATTCCAAGCGAAGCGAACCAGTCGAGCAGAAAGGCAAAGGTAGTTTCTGCATCAGCTGACTCACACGGCAGCAGCCAGACAAACTTGGACGCATCATCCTTAATGACAAGAGAATATTGTTGATTTGTGTCACTTTCCCCCAGAAACTAAAAGTCCCAGTGGATTAATTCGTTCGGCTCATCTGCATGCATTGCTTCACCCAGTAACCTCGGTTGAGGCGGCCCCCCAACGGTACTAGCGCAGTGAAGGCATTTCTTCACAAAATACTCGATGTCATCCCTCATTCCTGTCCAGAAAAACCGCTCCCCAATTTGCTGTTGTGTCACCAAAATGCCGCGATGTCCAGCGATGTCAAAATGACCGACTACGCACACTCGTACTTGTAAACTAGTCGCTACATCCGGAATCCAGACTTTGCCATGATCATCTGTCCACAACGCATCCTCACTTGGTTGAGAAACACCACCAGGTGGTACTGCCTCTTTCTGGGCAGCCAATATTTCCTGGTGTGTCGGCCACACGAAAGATTCCTCGAGTTGAGGCGATAGAGGCAATCGCTCCAACCGAATACCACAAATGGTTATCAAAGAAGACCCCATCGTGATAAAAGGTCTGCCAAAACATTTTCTTCACCGGAAATGTCATGGATTTCATATTGGTAGCCCATCAGGAGCATCGACCAGCGGTGCAGCTTATCGGCCGTATACTTAGGTACAGAAGCCGAAACACTATGCGGGTCAAAGATAAACCGCAGATTTCTATGGTCCGTGAAGAGAGAAAATCCGCCAGGACGATGCAGTAGATAGTCTGCGGCAAGTTTCCACTATAGCGTAAGCTTCTTTTTCCACTAAAGCCCACCTTTGGGCTGCTCCTGAGAATGATCTACTCAACATCATTAGAGGTTCATGTTCTTGTTCACTCAGGGGTCGTACAGTATGATCTCGTGCAACTTGAGTGATCACAACACCCCAATGTTCGTCACTCGCGTCTGTGTAGACATTGAGGAGTTTTTCAGGATCGGGATGCGCCAGTTTCACCGCGTTTTGTAGCGCCACCTTGCATTGCTCGATACAAGCCCGTTCGTCACTTCCCCACCCCACGTCATCTAGTTTAATACCCCTAACTTGAGTTTTCTTTCGCCCACCTGCCCGTTCATATACTTTCTCGATAATGTTGGAAAGCGAAGAAATCAATTTGTTGAACGCTGGGAGCGACGTTCTCATCCAGTTCAGAGCACACACAAATTGTTGTAGTTCTTGACCCGTTGACGGTTCTGGTAGAGCTAAGAGAGCTTCGATCCGTGCTGGATCATGGCGAACGCCTTCGCCTGAAACTACTCTGCCACACCACAAGGTTTAGTTTAGCGTCGTGCTCGATGTCACGGGCCGTTTCTGAGCCGCTATGAAACTTAGCTCACATCAACGCAAAAGATGGTAATGAAATTTGCACTAATAACCCGCTTGCACTGCCCGTTTGAACTTGTAAGTAACTAAAGGTTGATCACTCTCATACCAACCTCAATGAAAGCTAAAAACATTTTCAAATTGTAGCATTTTTAATGCATTTAGTATTATTTTTGCGCTAATTCAGAATTGACTTCAATCTGTGCCAGCTTTGATTAAACCATTCGGATAATGCGTCGCAAGACGGCTTGTTGCTGTTGCTGTTGCTGTTGACGGCGGTGTTTTTTATTTGTTACTTTAACCATGATTCCAGGATGATTAAAATTCAATTATGCTCTAAGAGCATCTCCAGCAGTTTTAGCCAAAAAGTAGCGTGTTTAGGTATTCGGAAGAGTTTTGTTGATTCCAGCGGCAGGACCTATTGCTGGTTTTAACTTCATGGGGATCTATACTTTGGCGCTGCGGTCTTAAAATGATACGGCGTCAAACGAACTGATCCTTACAAATCATTTGGAGTTATCGAGAAAAACGGCTTTAAAGATTGGCCAGTTAAATTCGAACTTAAGTGATATTTTGCAAACAGGGCCTTTTCCCACACAGACCCATTTTCTCGAGGTGTATCGAAGGCGATCTTGTACTCAACTGAGCAATGGCCACGCGTCCGGCCCCCTCCTGCACTCCGACACCCACCAGCAGTCATGCAAGCCCCAGTGCGTCGTCCGAGCAGGGCGTCGCACTTTTCGGTGAAAGACGGCTGCTGGGGTCGCTAAGACCGGATCCAGAAGGCAACAGTGAAATGGATTCCGACGACAGTGTGTGGGAGCCTGTCTCGGATGAGTCGAGCGCAGCGTCAAGTGCTGAAGAGGCTCAAGATGGACTTTCGGACGTGGAGTCACTGGATGAGTTCGCTGAGGACAAAGGCATCAATTTGTTTGGCGAGGACTTTCACGACACAGTGGTCGACTTAATCCAGCACGACAAGTGCGACGATCATTGCCTCCAGGGGAAGGCTGCTGAACTTGAAGATTTCCTGCGCTCGACATCAATCATGACTGCCCGGGAGATGAAGCAGAGCGTCCTGACTTCGTTGGCGATGCTCATGAAGACAGACACCGCAGTGCGGCGTCGGGGTACTGGGGAAAGGCAAGTTTTCTTGTTCTACCTGCCACTGATAGGGCGTGTTTGCAGAGATGTATGGTGTGCTGTCTACGGCGTTTCTATGGCAACTATCACTCGCTACCGCCGTCAAATTCAACGTGGCGCCTTCCCCGTCAAGGTACACAAGGGTCTACTGAACATGAACGCTACAAAGATCGACATTCGCTGGTTGGTGAGCTGGTTTCGGTCGTTTGCTTCGACCCTAGGCGATGTTGTTCCCGTGAGAGTCCGCACACAGAAAAGATAGCCGGTGACGTACGCAAGCAGTACACGGACGAAAACTACACGCTGCTGCCTGCATACTTTACTTGGGATCAGCTCTACTCTGAGATGAATGCCTATGTGCTTGAAAACGACCTGGACGTGCGTGAACCCAGCCCTTCGACGTTTCGAAAGCTCCTACAGCAGTATTGTCCGACGATTCGGATCAGGTCTCCTCGTAGCAACGTGTGTGACTTGTGTGCTATCCTGCACACTCGCATGCGGTCGTGTATCACGACGGAGCTTACTGAGGAGCTAGGCGTCCATACT